GAAATTCTCAGCTCATAACTGATGTGCAGAAAAGTATTTCAGGTGAGTGTGTATGGTACAAGGGTGCAGTTAGGTTTAAAACGAGTGAGGTGGAAGGGATGAGCACGCTGATGGCTCAAGGGCGCTCATCAATGTCTGAGAAGGACGCGATTCTGACTGACTTTCTGGTCCAACTTACCCAACCAGGACCCAGATCCTTAAATGGAGTAAAAATAAAATGGGGAAGAAGAAATGAAAATCAAAGCAGTAGTAATAAAAGGAACATGAGCAAAGCATCAGCCCAGAGCATGTCAGAAGCATCCTTGAGCCTGCCAGTGAGTTCCAAGGGATCGAGGTATGGGAAAAACATGCTGGAGGTGCAGCTGGGGAATACCAGTGTCCAACAGCAACAAAATGAACCAAATGGGCTGTGAAATATTAGGTGGGGATCATCAGATGTATCCTGTCAGGGTTACAAAATTCGTTACATAAGGATTGTCTATGCACTCAATAGTAGACATCACTTGGAAATAGGGGTCTCCCAATTTTCCGAGGATGATGCAGATAGTAAATTAAGTATTTGAAAATGAAGGGGTGATCATTAGCGGGCCCCCTAGCTCCACTCAGGAAGAGGAAAGAAAGATTTTGACTTTCTGACTCAGCTCCTACACTGGCAGACGGCCTGTGTATATGGATTTCAATGCAGCATTGGAACAAACACCATCTCAAGACACAGGGGGAGGAGGAGATGTTGTAATTAAACAGATTAGTAACTGTTCAAATTTGGAAGGAATAACTGAGGGACAAATCTCCGGTAATGTGAGGTCTCAGGACCATGTCTTTGGCTCTGATTTTTTTTTAACAACTTGTTCTTTGGAAACTGTTAAAAGATTTTTTTAAAGTATCTTGTACTTCAATGGAAATATTGTAAATTGTTTTTTCAGGTTTGCTTCTATTTTTATGAGACTGTATTATCTTTGTTTAATTTATAACTTTTTTAAGCTTAAAAATTTACTTTTTACACCACTTAATGGGTCACAGCAAAACTGTGCAGAAAGCACAGCGACTTCTGGGCTACCTCATCCCACACCGGTCAGCACCCCGTGGGAGGGGTTCATCCCACGCTCCTACTGGGTGTATTCTATTGGTGTGCGCACACATAGAGTGGCATGCATACGCGTCATTAAGTGCAGATGAGGTCACACCCTAAAGGTCCTTCACATCCTGCTTATTCATTCCTTTCTCTCCCTGGCAACAACGACCACTTCTCTTGTTGCTGTCTCTGTGGTTTTATCTTTTCCGGAATGGCAGGACTCATGTAGTGTACAGACTTTTCAGATTGGTTTCTTACACAGCAGTGTGCGCTGAAGCTTCCGCCATGATCTCTGGGATTTGATAGCTTACTTCTGTGTAGTGGTGACTCAGTACTCCATTTTCTGGACTGGCCATGATTTATCTACTAAAAGACATTATGATAGTTAGGGGAGGCTTAACTCTGGAATCTACTCAGGGATATTGTGGAACGAATTTCTGGGGGCCTGGGTGGGTCACAGAGGGGTGAACCTGGGGTCCATATCTGCCTCCTGACCCCTTTCTCTTTGGCACTGTACGCCTGATCCTGGTCACCATGAAGTAACCAGCTTTGCTCCACCATGCCTGTCTGGTGGCCATGATGGTCCCACCTTGGACTGAATCCCTTGAAACCGTAAGATAAAGTCCCCCTCTCCCTACTTTAAGTTGTGGGTGTTGAGTATTGTATCCAAAGCTGACTAACAGAAACATCTTGGTGACATCCAAGCTTTGGAAGTTATACACAAAGCTGCTATTAACATTAACATGCTGATTTTTCTTTTGACCTAAGCTCTCAGCTCATGTGGGGAAATATCAAAGAGCACAGCTGTTGGCTTGAATAGTCACAGTGTGTTTAACTTTGTAACAGCCACCAAACTTTCTCCCAAGACAGCTGTACCCTCCGCAGCCCCGACTAGCAATGAGTGAGTTCCGGTTGCTTCATATCATCATCAAACACTTTCTGTTGTCAGTGTCTGAGATATGGACCATTCTTGGCGGTATGTAGTGGCATCATTTTATTATTACCTTCTTTCTGTTTTATGAGCTTTTAAATTTTTATTTTTATTAGTCCATGTTTGCAATACAAAGTGATCCTGCTCATGTAGGGGTTGGCACACCCACACCTTCATTCATGATTCTACCCCTTTCTCCCCATGCCTCCTGCCCTCTGCCCTTGGTCCCCTTCCCCTTCCTCCCTATGGTTGTTTTTTTTTTTTTTCTTTTTGAGACAGGGTCTCTCTGTGCAGTTCAGGCTGGCCTTGAGCTCACTTTGTAGCCCACACTGTAGCCACTCAAACTTGCAACGATCCTCCTGTCTCAGCCTCCAGAGTGCTGGGATTGCAGGCATGTGCCACCACACCCAGCCTCCCTATTGCTTTAAATTGCAGTTCCCTGAAGAGGGATGAGGTTGAGCAGCTTCTCACGTTTATTAATTTTTAAAGAAAAAAGAAACTCGAGTGCTTCCATTGCCTTTCAAGACTTACCTATACGATTTGAGCCAGCATGGCTTTGCAGAAAAACATACTATACACAAATAGGCCAATCCAAACAGAGAGTGCCTGGAGCTAGAAGCCCCCTCCACAGCCAGCTTCGCCCATGAAAGATCATCTCCACATAAAATGCTGCGAGGACAACTGAATATATGTAGGAGTGTAAAGTGACCTCAACATTTACACATTAGAAAAGTAACAAATGATTGATTTTTGATCTAAACATAACAGCTAAATGATAAAACGTCCAGAACAATGCACATGAGAAAACTGATGTGACCTTGGATTAGGCAATACTGAGTTAAACAAGCCTTAAAAAATGAAACTGTAGGAATAAATATTAGTGTTGTAAACATACTCAACATTACAGATTTTTCCATTCCTCTCCTTCTTTTTGGGGAGGAAGCAGTATTGGAAATTGAAGCCAGAGCTTTCACGTTAAGCTACACCTTCAAGCTCACTACTGTTTCAAAATTTTTGAGACAAAGTCTCACTAAATTGAGCAGACATTACTCAAATTTTCAATCCTCCTGCCTCAGCCTCAAGTCCTGGGATTACACACATGCACAACTGCACAAATTCTGCTCTTTAACAGAGGGTTCAGAAAATAAAGAGACAGGGAAGAAAATGGGAAAAATACCTGACAAAGGCTTCATATCCAGAACAGATGACAAACAGACACATTAAAACAGCTGCAACACCACTATTAATTAAGAAAACATCTAAATTGTAACTGCAGTGAGGAAGTGTCCTACACGTAAGGTGGAGGCTTTGGTGACATCCAGAGTCTGATGAGCATGTGGAGCAGGTGGGACACTCACACATTCCGTCCGGGGTGAGAGCAAAACATCACCTTTGCACCACAGTGTAGCACTGTTCTTCCTAGCAAAACACACACGTTTCCCATGTGATCCAGCAACCCCACTCCCAGGTACAGGCCAAGACACATGGAAACATGTCACACTGACACCTTCACAGCAACACTCCCAGCAGCGTTATGGACAGTAGCCAAGAACTAGGAATGTCCCAAAGGCCAGTTAATGAATGGATGAGGAAACAAATATTGAAGGTAACGTTTATTTTTGTTTTTGCTATATATGTGCTGTTGGTGTCATGTAAAGAAAACCACTGTCAAGGCCAAGTGCCAAGGGCCTCTCTTCCTCATGTGTTCTTCTAGGAGTTGTATAGTGTCAATTTTTTGGTTTTAATCTATTTTTTTTGTTGTTGTTGAACCTCATGTATGGTATAAGTTGAGTACGGTTTATTATATGTAGGTCCAGTTTTCCTAACATTTGTTGAACATACTGCCCTTTTCCTGTTGTTTATTCTTGGCATTAACCACAAATGGTTTTTTAATTACAGTAGCACCAAAAATTAAAATACATTAGGGAGTAAACTCAACTAAGGAGTGAAAAACTTGAATACTGAAAATAATTTTTTGTTGAAAGAAATTAATGATGACACAAACAAATGGAAGGCCACCTCATGGTCATGAGCTGAAAGATTATCACATGGTTTAAATGTCCTTATTATGTACAGTAATCTACAGTTTCAGTGCAACCCTTTCCAAAATTCAAATTCCAGTATTATTTTTATAATACTGGAAAAAAGCAACTCTATACTTCATAATACTGAAAAAAGCAACTCTACAATTCATATGGAACAACAAAAGAACATATATAGGCATACTAGCCTTGAGAAGGAAGAACAAATCTAGACACATCCCTGATTTAAAAAAAATATTATAAATGTACAGGACATAGAACTGTCTAAAACTGGCATAAAGACAAGCAAATAGGGCAAAAATAGAACAGAAATGTCAAAAGCCATCAGGGAAATGCAAATCAAAACCTCACAGAGATTCCTCCTCATGTCTTTTGGGATAGCTATTATTAAAAAGAGGCCGGGGCTGGGGATTTAGCTCAGCGGCATAAGCACCTGCCTAGCAAGAGTGCAGTCGTGAGTTCGATCCCCGGTACCGATAAAAAAATAAAAGAAAAAGAAAAAGAAAGAGACAACAAGGATGTAGAGAATCCTAAAAAACCTTGCACTCTGTAGGGTGGAGCAGAAAATGGTGCAACCACTAATGAATACAGTATAGTGACTTCATAAAAATAGAACTCTCAGTCCTACTTCTGGGCATTTATTCAAAGTAATTTGGGTGTAAAAGAGATACTATGACACCTGTGGACAGGGCAGCACTGTTGACTACAGCTAAGATATAGAAACATCGTACATGTCATCAGTATGTGAGCAAGAAAGAAAACACAGTACCCGTATATAATGGAACACAACTCAGTCTTTAGAGAAGAAAATTCTGTCACACAAAATAGCAGGGAGGTACTTAGCTCAGTGACATAAACTGGGAAAGATCAAACAGCACGATTCCATCTATGAGTGACTCGGTCACATTTTCACGACATCCACAAAGTAAAGGAGGAGAGGTGTATTCTGACTCACGGTTTCAGTCCACAGTTGGCGGGCCTCAAGGTAGAAAAACCACGGCAGAGATGCAAGGCGGAGAAATGGGTGCTTCCCGTGGCAGCCCGGAAGCAGGGTGAGAAGGAAGGAGCTGTGGAGAGAGAAGCACCTTCTGGCTCCCACGCCAGCGCCACCTCCAGCCAGGTCCCGCCTCCTGCAGCACAGTCAGCCCTGCCCTCACCCACCATGAATCCTGGATGTGCACAGGGCTCGAATCCGATCATTCTCCACGCACGGGAGACTTTGGGGGCATTTTAGATCTAAACCGTGACAATAAGGTATCTAAAATAGTCAAACTCACAACAGAAAGTGTCATGGCAGCTACTGGGGCTGGAGAGGAGTGAGCGGAGTTGCAATGCGCAGGCGCAAACTTCCTGTTCCGCCAGAGGTTTGAGTTCTGGCTTCCGCCGCCGTGCACACGACCCTGCAGCAGCAGTAATGCAGTGGCTGCAGCGAGCTGTTGGCTGCAGAGCTCCTGCGCAGTGTGCTTAGCGTAACACAGTTTCAGAAAACCCTGCGACGCTGCTGAGCAACACAGATGCGCCCACGTGGGTAGGTCAGGAAGCGGCGCTCCAGTGAAAGGCCTCAAAGCAAAATGTCGCATACTGTAGGAGACCTTCTACTTCAAGCCCTGAACTAGGAAAACTAGCATTGCAAAGCAGAGTTGTGATGTAGGTCCAGCCTGGGAAGGGGGTTGACTGCAAAGGAGACCAAGGGAACTTCTGAGGTATCAGAAAAGCTCAGTATGTATGATAATTATATGAGTATGGTAATTATACTACAGAAAGGTGGAGAAAAAGTAAAAGTAGATATGAATTCTCTTAGAAATGAGTAATGCAGGCATTAAAAATTCAATACAATCAAAAAGCAAAATGAAGTCTCAAGTGATATGAGAGAATTGGAGAATCAGAAGCTAATAATGAAGGATTTACCTGTAACTCAGACCAGAGAAGGACTTTGTTCAAATGAGACAACAATTAAAAGAAGTGGAGAAATGTAGAAACTATGATAGGTTTTTAGGAGTTTCATTAAAAGAGTGATGAAATTAACAGGAAATAATTAGTTTATGAGGTAATTACTGAATCTTTTTAAGGATTATATAAATAACCTGATCTCTCAGACAGGTCACTTCGAGTTATAATCATGGCAAATAAAAATAAAACCAACCCCACTCATGGATATAAAATGGTCAAATATCAAGAATAAAGAAGATATCTTCAAGGTAGCACACAAAGAAGATAGATTTCCATGAAGAAATAACGAATTGCCAGTAGACTTCCAATCATCAGTAATGGAAAATTATCTTCAAAGTGCCAAGGAAAAGTAATTGTCCACTTTGAACTTCGAATACGATCTTTCTTCAAATGAAAAGGCAGCATAAAACCCCTCTCTGATGTTCAAAGACTGAGAGCCTACCACCTACAGCTCCCTGCAAGAACAAATTAAGAACATTCTTCTCTGCTGTAGCAAAAGAAAACCCAGAGGAAAAGACACATTGGTGTGCACAGAAACAGATCATTAAATTTAATTAGCCATTGACTATGAAAAATGACTCTTCTACGGCTTAAAATATTAAAATGAAACTCACCGTGACAAATGGGATTGGGAAACTGTTCTGTTCTAGTGAAGGTTAAGCCGGCAGAGTAAATAACATTAGATTCTGCTGGAAAAATTCATACTAAAACTGGTTAACGAATCAAGGGGCCAGCACTAAATCAAGTTCCGTTCAGTGAAAAATCAAATATGATGAGGCCATGAAAACGAAGAATTTGGGTGTTGTCTCCTCATCCTGGGAAGCCACAGGGTGCAGCTCCACTGCATCAACCAGCAAATGTCATTAGTAGCATATTTTCCACTGGTCCCAGAGTTATTTCTAGCCTTATATAGAAGCCTTTGTGACCATATACACTGCTGAATGGTTGCTTGTCTTTATAGTCTTTCTACAGCTTGCTTTGGGGTTGATGTTATTTAAAATTAAAAATTGTTTTTGCTATTGTTACTGTTGTATCTCTTCTGTTTCCCTGTTTCTTAATTTCCTATTCCACATCACACATACAGAAGAAGGGGTTGATGATAAAAATTTCAACCTCATTAATTAACACAAACTGAATATGATTATATAATTTCCCTGATACATAGGTAGGTAGGTAATAAATGCTACATATTCATCTCTATCTGACCACTTCGCACTTCTGTGACACCCATCCCCAATGCTGCACATGTGTCTCACTTTATTGCCATCCAGAACAGATCTCACAGAATAGGTACCCTTCCGGTGGACAATTATACATTTTTGGTGAGTTGTAAGTGCAGTTCCCCAGGGTATTTAGAAGTGGAACTGGGTGTCAGAAGGTACCTACACGTCCAGCATTCATAGGTAGGGTCAGGGTTTCAAGTCTTGTTTTTCTGTTCTCGCTTCCACCACAGTATCCGAGAGTCTGTGCTGCAGCTCAAGACTCTGCATTGCCAGGCAGTGGGTCTTCTAGTGGCTTTAATTTGTATTTCTCACATCACCAACAAGATTGCTTTCTCTTTCTGACTTCAGCAGCCATATGCAGAGCTTCTGTCATGAAAACTTCCCATCCTCGCCATGTTTTATATTATTGCTGATTTTCTCTTTGATGTGAAAGATGTCTTTGTATATTATAGGTACAAACCAATCGTCACTTACGTACCTTATGAATGTCTTCTTCCACTCTGTGTTGTCTTAATGATATCCTACAAACACTCTGGCACGTGTAAAGCTTTCCTATTCGAAATAATGTCAGAATTACAGAAAAAGTGTAATAGTGCAAAGATTTTTCATAAAATCTTCTTATCTCCTAAAGTTGATATTGTACTATAAATGCTCTATTGCTTTCTATTTTTGGACCACTTGAAAATATACATTTACTTAACCCCTAAATATTTCAGGGCTTATTTCTTTTCAAAAGGATAATTTATGTAACTACAGCCCAACTGAAAGGTTAAGAAATTCACGTACAATGTGTATTACTACCTATAGGTCTTCAAATTCACCAGTTGTCATAATAATCTTTATTAGATGAAAAAATTCTCCAGTCATGGATCTAACCATAATTACTTTGTCTTATATTTAGTTACCATGTTTAACCTCCCTTAATCTTAATTTCTCAGGATCTGTGTTTCATTGCATAGGCAACTGGAAAAGTAATAAAATTATTTACCTTGTAGAATATCCTGTCGGTGGCTTTGGGATCTTTCCATACAGCTCGACTCAAATCACACATCGTCTGTCAGAAGCAGCACAGCAGTGACCCTGCACTGGCCTCAGCACGTCCCCTGGGAGGCCAAGGGTGGCACTTTGTCCCAATCCCAGCAATTCAGTAACTTTAGACACTAAGAATTCTCTCCAGAAACAACAATTACTACAAATTTTGCCAAGTGGCGATTTTCCAACTCATCAACCCCCTTCTACATTTACTGGTTTGGTTTTCTGTGGAAAATGACTTTTCATTCTTTCATTCATTCATTCATTCATTCATTCCTTTATCTACTGGTCTCTATGCCTGTAGGTTGCCAGGATCTTATTATCCTCAAGAGGTTATGATCCACAGCAGATGGTACTAATGTCAGTGCTTTCCTGTCCTGGCCTTCCCCTGAGGCATCCCTTAAAGTTGGCTCTGTATCCTTTTAAGAAGTCTCCATGACTCTTGGTCTTACTCTCCTCAGCAGTCACCTCTTCTGGACTCATTTTGTCTCCCTAAAATAAGCCTACTTATGCAAGCAGCCATTTCTTCTCAACAGACAGTATATTTAGAAGGCAAGCTCTTCATGCTGGGTTTGTTCATTGCTACCCAGGTGTCGCTACTATTGGACAGAGCTAGGAAAACACTTATACAAAGAGAAAGAAAGAACACATATCATGAGTTCTTACTGATTGCTCCAACCTATTTCAATAGCCAATTAGACTACAAAAATGCAGTGCTAATACCATCTTTCCCTACCTTCACATTTCTCATTGTCCTTCCCATCAATGAGAAACCTGGTTCCCATTATCCACTCTGTTTACTTATTGCTTAATCCTAGGATAAAGTACAATACACAACAAGTAAGTTCAGAATTGCTAACGCATGCTAAACTTCCTCTTCAGAGTTCTGATTTATTTACAATGGATTGTTTCTAGCCTAAGCCCTAGGACCTACACTCTAAATGTTAATATCCGAAGATCACTTCAGTTAGTTTATTTTTTCCCTTCAATGTGGTTCTGAAATAAAGATAAGCACATCTGTTTCACTTTGTATACATTTTAGGGTTTCTTCCACCTCTCTGCTGACTTTATTTTACTTATTATGTATGCAGAACATTGCTATAGCTCCAGAAGTCTGAGGAACACACAGGGGACCTGTGGGAAATGTCACTGCCGCTCCTGCACTGCACACTGCCCTGCTGCCCTTGGTCCACACCTCCTGTAGCTGACCACGTTTACAACTGGGAGTCAACAAACGCATCCATATTTTCAACTTTTCGCATACAAATTTGCAAAATAATCTTTTACTTGTTTAAAAACCTTCCAATTCCTAAGCCCCTGTCATCTCGTATTTTCTACATTTATCATTGCTACTTCCCCGTTTGTCACTTAAAGCAGCCAATGTTTTGCTTATATTATCCATTCTTTTAAAAACCAGGGTTTTCATTTATTAAATAGATGCACTATTGTTCTATTCTCTACTTCATTCAAGTCAAGCTTTACTTTCTTTTATTTTTTTGCTCTCAGTTTATTATGTCTTCTTTTTCTACCTTTCAGAGGTGAAATTTTAATAAATTAATTTTATTCATTCACATTTATCAATGTGTGTGAGGTAATGGATTGTCCTTTGACTACTGCGTTCATTTTGGGATACAGGTTACAGTATATAAAGGTTTCATTGTTATTAATTTTAAGAGATATTTGGCTCCCATTATATTTCCTTTTTGACTCGATAGTTGTTTAATAACACTTTTTAAAAAAAATCTCAAATACAAGAGAAGGCCTTTACTTATGATATATTTCTAATCTCATTGCCTTGTCATCAGAGAGTGTTATAATGTTTCTACTTTATAGAATATCCTGATCCTTTATATACTGCATAT